TGAACTGTAGAGAAATGAGGAGGTACCTCAAAATATTCCTCACCGAGCCAGCCTTGTCTTATGAATATGAATCACTCTCTATTAGGGCCCCCAGTAGCCAGAGTAGGGCTATAATGGAAAGGAAGGTGGGCAGACCTCTAGAAGACTCTAAATCTGATTCATTTAGGGAGGCAGGGGTAGAATACAAGTGCAGACAGTTTACTGAGTGGCCATAGAATGCATTTGGGCCACCACATAGGTGCTTAAATGATAGAGAATATGGTAAGAAAAAAGTATCTAGTTTAAGAGTAAGTTTATTTTCAAGTGCTTTGAGTTCTGTGACAAGTAAAGAAAGACTGTCTTGCATGGCCAATGTGGAAATTTGTTTTGCTTGGCTCTATGTGTTTGTAACAAGGGGTGAGAGAAGGGAGAATTTTGCTGACTGAAAATATAAAATTTAATTTTAAAAATTATGGAGTTTGTTGGGGTTTTGGAGTTTGAATGTGTTCACACACCAGAAACAGCTTTTCTGTGAAGAGGAACCATCTAAAAGCTAAGCTAAAAGAGATCCTACAGTTAAGAAATTTCTGAATTCCATGCAGATTAGGAATTTATATCTGAGTACCTGGGTACTGTCAAGAAGTCAACCATCTTTCTTAACAAACAAAATGAATATGACAAACTGACTACTTAAAGACTTTTTTTTGTCCAGGAATGTCATTCCCTTGATCCTGGTTTTCACAGATATTGGCATCTAGATCAGAGTTTCCCAAGACAGATTATTAGTGGGCAGATTCTCATGGTGATTACTAGTGGTTGTGACCATCTCAGTACTCTTTTTTTAGCCTCCATACCCTCTCCTGCCAGTTTCATGGGCGAGGGATTAAGACTGGTTCAGTCTGGATGAGCAAGGAAGGTAAAAACCATGCAAAGGCAGCCTTGAGGTTCATAGTTTGGCCAGATTTTGAATACTTCCTAAACAGATGGCCAAATACAATGTAGGCCAGCATACGTACAATGGATACACCTGATAATCATCTTCTTCAGGATGCCTGGAGAGCTCCAGGACAGTCTATGAAGATTCTGCCTACTTGGGAGAACTGGAAATCTAGAATTAATTAGCCCATAACACAACCTATCCACAAAAGAATGGGAGTAATGGCACCCTTAGGAGGAACTGGGTGCCCACCCTGTTGTTTTGCCTGCTGGAGGGGGAAAGAACTGTGAGAGAAGGTCAGTAGAAGCAGGGACAGATTTAATCAAGGCACATAAAGGAATAAAATGCTTATAAGGTGTGAACCTCAATATGTTAAACTTATTTTTCTTTTAATTTTAAAATTGTTACATGTTCATAGAATCCAAGTCCTCCAGTTTTATTGATAAGGGTGTTGAAATTCATAGAATCCAAGTGTCCAGGGGTCTTTCCACTGCACCATATTCTACTTGATATATGTTAGTAATGCCAGGCAGGAATATTCAAACAAATTTGACCCTTCTTAGGAGGGTTATGGCAGACCTCTACATGTTAATCTACGCCTAAAGCAGTGTCTTACAGAGAGTGGTTCCTTAGCACAATGTATCAAGAGATTTCCCTCTTATGTGTCATATATGGAGAAAGTTTCAGTGCCAGGAACTAGATATAATAAAAGCAATGTCCTAATTCCAGGTCCCAGGTCCAAGAGAACGCCTGCAGATGAGCTGTCTACACCCAGGTATAGAATGAAAAGTAATCCAAGATGTTCTCTCTCAAACTACTGGCAGCTTTCAAGAGCCCCAAGAGAAAGCTTATCAAGTCAGTCCTGCCAGGGTTGGAATGGACAAATCCTGTAGCATTTATGGCTCCCCAAACCTTGAGAGTTTTGTTCCTCAGTGGGCGTACCACCAATCTGTTGTGAAGGCACAGATAATCAATTTTAGAGACGTAAGACCTAAGGGGAAAACTAAACTCTTAAGTTTCTCATGAAGAATATGAACTCTTAGTGACTTCAGGACGAAAATAGTTCTAGATGAAAAAAGTAGTGCCTATTAAGTTCACAGGAAGAATATTTTTGGGAAAATAAACATATACACCAATGCACACTAGTATTGTCAGACAGGAAACACTAAAAAGACAAAGTATAAACAGTAACCTTCAAAAACGTCAGCTCACGCCCTGGGGATGTCTGGATTGCCTGACACTAGACATAGTCTAGGGCCATGCCCAATATTTGGTTCCTGATGCGTGTACACAAGCATTAAATGTAGAGTTTCACAGATTCTGGCCCCAAATACAATCAGAGATCACCTCTGTAGGGTTAATCTTGCTATATGTCCTCCCTCAATGCAAAAGGTTCTAGAACTACATCATTCTTCACTGATATTTCTTCACCCTGATGAGAATTTCCAATCTGTGCTCCTTCACGCAGCAGGCAAATAACCATGTCAACAGATAGGATTCTCACCATGGAGGACACATAACTTGGCAACTAAGAGAGAGAGACATGTTCTATTGTTTAGGATACCTCTGCTTCTACTTTTGCCAGAACTACATGATCCCAAGTGGAACCAACAATGCTGGGTTTAGGTCACACAGGTCTAGCTAACAAGGGAATCAACTGCAGGTACAGTATAAAATAAAAAGGGAACTCAAATATATCGGGGGAAATGCCACAAAGCAATAATCCAAAATATCTGAAATTTCATTTATTAATCAACCCAAAAGAAGTGGTTGAAACTGAACAAAGAGGTCCTCGTGTGCCTGAAACAAGAATTACAGGTGACTTTGCATTTTTGCTCCTGCAAAAGGGAAAAAAGTTCTCCCACAAAATGAGATAGCAGACGATTCTGCAGCAGAGTATGTATACTCAACTATTCTGCTTATAGGACAGACTTATTCTACACTGAATGAACTAGAAGATGCTGAACACTGACTTCTAAACTCCATTCACTCAGTTTAAAAAGGTATTATCCAAACCAAGAACAATTAAGTCTAACTTGCATGCCAAGCCCAAACTCTTGCAGATCTACTCAAACCAAATTGTTTTCCTGCTCCCTTCTTACAGAATCTATACAGAAGTAACGGGAAAAACTTTATAGTGCTCTCACATAATCCAAATGAACATTCTCCACTGGCAACCACTGGCAACCCTAAGTTCTCATAAACACAGTGAGAAACAGCCAGGGTAGCAAAGCAGCTCAGTCCAGCAATCATTCACGACAAAGCAGTATGAGCAGACCCAGGCGTTCAGTGGTTTATGGGTACCAAAGGGGAGCAGCCCATCTAGGAACCCCACAGCAAGTTTCAGGCTCTGCTTGCTCCCTTCTAGGAATCTAATGTCAGTCCCAGTAAAGGCTCTGACACAATGATTACATCTCAGGAATCACCAAATGGGAAGGAAGGAAAAACCAAGTGAAATAACTTACACTTGCATGTTTTTCGTGGGCAATTCACTGGTGCTTCCTATAAAACAAACAATATTTAAAAATGGGTTAAAACTCAAGGTTTTCAAATATTCCTGAAGGAGTCTGGAACCTCTGGGTTTCAGAAAAGGTCAAGCATGCCAGGCTCTGAAAGAAGTCACACTATTCTTCTTTAAGTTTTTTTGTCTGTTTTAAATAAATGACATCTGCACTAGGGTATGCCAATCTTCTGTGCCCCCTTCATCGCACTGTGCTCTGGGGCATTCCACATTCTCAGTACCTGAGCCTGACTACTAGCTTAAACTACCAAAGCAGAGGCCTAGGAGCAACAAAATGAATGGTTCAGTTTTGTGGTTGGCTTCTGTGGATTCTTTAAAGTTACGAAGCTTCCATGAACCATGAGTAAGAATTCATTCTGCCTCTTCCTCTTATTACCAACATAAAGCTGCGATTCCTTCTAAAGTTCCCGGGTTCTTATTTATTAGCACCTGAAAAGTAATCTGTTTTGTTTTTAATTTTTACTGCTACCTTTTGTTTTTGACATCACCAGAATTTCTCCCAGTACTTCTGCCCTCCTCTCCCATCTCAGAGAGCCTTATCAGGTTAAGAAATATTTATTTTTAAAGAAATAGAAAAACCAATGAATATATCAAAAAAAAGTCTAAAAATGTATACACGGTATGTGTATCCATGGACTTTTCAACTCCGCAAAGAAGTGGAATGGAGGTATTTCCTCATTTCTCTTCTTTGGGACTGTGTCTGTTTGTAATTTTACAGCATTCACTTTTGATTGTTCTTTCCACTTACATCATAGTAATCATTGTGTATATTGTTTTACTTCACTCTGCATCAGATCATGTAAATCTTTCCATGCTTCTCTGTATCTAATATATTTGCAGCTTCTTACAGCACAGCAATATTCCATTACATTCATGTACCACAATTTGTTTAGTTATTTCCTAATGAAGAGGACTATGTTTCAATTCTTTGCTACCACAAAAAGTTGTTATGAATATTTTGGTGTATATGGTATATATAGACTTATTCCTAAGTAGTATAAATAAGCCTAGTAGTGCAATCTCTGGGTCATTTTGATTGCCTAATTTAAAATTAATTTCCAAAATGGTTGTCCTAATTTGTAGCTTTACCAATAACACATTAGTGAGTCTATCTTCTCAAAATTCCTCCAGCATTGACTATTTTCATCTTTTGTCATTTTTCCCAATTTGTTGAGTACGTGGTAAAACCTTAGGGTTGGAAAAAAAAACAACCTACAGGTTTAATATGAATGTATATGTTGAGCCTATATCAATTTACATGCCATCTTGGGGTAGGGGGAGGGAAGAGATGGGGAGAAAATTTGGAACTCAAAATTTTATGGAAGTGAATGTTGAAAACTAAAAATAAATAAATAAATTTATAAAAAGAAAAAAGAAAAAACCAATCTCAGGGTTGTTTTGATTTGCATGTCTCTTCTTATAAGTGATTTGGAACATTCTTTCATAAAGTTGTTAATAGTTTTCAATTATCCTTTTGAAATCTATTTGCATTTATATGTGTGTATACATATATATAGCCATTTTCCAACAGATAAGTGGTCAAAGAATATGAATAAATAGGTCTCAAAAGAACCACCAAAAGTTATTAACAATAAAAAGTAAACATATGTGTAAGTGTATGTCTATAAGCACGTATGTAGGTATGTATGCATGCATGCGTGTTAGTCGTCTATATATTTTGTATACCAAATCCTTATCTGAGAAATATGATACAAAGATTTTTTCTCATTTGACAACTTCCCTTCTTAACCTAGATACATCATTTCTTCAGTACAAGTAGCTTTAGTAAACCTAGAAGTCATAGCCGTCTGTGAAGGAGAAGGTATTAATTATATAAACTGCAGATATGATGAATTTGAGACCCTTACCTAAATCAGGAACATGAGAGGCTCCAAAAAAATAGGTTCTTGAACAAGCGAGGGGTCCTTTTGGAGAGACACATTGCACAACCTGGGCATCGGGAAGAAACAGAGAGAAATGGGGCTAGGGCTGATACTGACGTGGAAAAGGGATACCTAATGGAAACCAATGAAGATTTTCCAACAGCCAATTTGTTATTAAAAAAAAAAGTTTACCCCCATAAAAAGCCACTCTCCCAACCCCCTCTGCTTTAATTATTGATTTTACTTATGCTGCTAAAAAGTATACTTATATCACTCTTTTTGCTGTTCTGTTTAACTTTTTCAAGGATTATATACAATGTGGAGAATCTGTGAATTAAATAGGGTTCTGTATGATTCAAAATCAAATTTATTTCCCTCCCCTTAAAAGGGCTCAGAAAGGCAAGCTGACACTATGTGCTGTCTTCTAGAGGTTCAAAAGAGTCCCTTTTCCTCACACAAGGGTGTCAAAATGTTGTCAACCAGCTCTGTTTTCTCAGAGCCTATGGCCACAGATAGAATTTGCTTTTACAAAACTCAGCACCTACAGCAGAGCTTCTGAGAAAATGGCCAGCACAGGACACTGGATGTCTCAGACCTAGGACCTATTCTACCACCCTGTCCCTAAGGTTCCTGATCCCACCCCTCTTCCCCCAAGTCACAGCCTCTTTCTGGAACATAATAGCATCTCAACCTCTTTTCCTTTCTCATGTGACAGAGACGATGTGGGAACACCAAAGAGTATATAGGAAAACCCTCAATTCTTAATGACCCAAATGCCACAACTCTCCCTTCCACTATTTTTAAAAGTTCATTTGGAAATGCTATAAAATTAAAGTACCTAATTGCCAACCAACTCCCTTCTCAGCCCCACAGCCCCTTGGAGATAATGGTTAAACTGGCATGAACCCAAGGAAGTTTCTGCCTCATCTACACACCTCCACTGCCTTGTGGCAAATTCCCAGAGCCCAGAGTGGCAAAGGTGACTCACCATGTGCTTGGCTGTACTGCCTCCCAGGCCAGTGTTCCGCACCAGATGCCCCTCAGAAGGAAAGTTGAAGTTGCTGGCATTGAGATTTTCTGCAGTTGAGTGGCAACCAAAAAGAACGAATGGCTGCCTGCTTGGGCTAAACAAGCAATTAACAATATTTTTGTTAGGACATTTTGCTTGGGAAAAGTCACTTTTTGAGGAAAAATAGGACAGCTCCCTATTCCTCTATATAAGCAATTTCCTTAAGGTCATTAAGGCATCTGCCTCATCACAAGACCATGAAAAATGTTTGGTGAAAGGTAGCATTGTCTCCTGCGACACCATCGCAATGATGGGGAAGTAATATGGAATGAGTCTAAAAAGAGAGGCTGGGCTCAAGTTGTGAAAGGATTTAAATGGTAAATGGAGAAATCTGCATTTGATCCTAGAGATAATTAGGAGCCACTCAGGTTTATTGATAAAGGGAGTGACATGTTCAGACCTGACCTGATCTTTGGGAAAATCACTTTGGCAACTGTGGGGAGGATGTATCAGAATGGAGAGAGATTTGAGGCAGAGAGGCCAATTAGAAGGTTGTTGCAATAGTTCAGGCAAGAAGTGATGAAGATCATGTGGTATTGGATTAGATACATATGATGAAAGAAATTAAGGAGTTGAGAGTGATACCTGGGTTACAGGATAGATGGTGTTATCCCAAACAGAAAAAGACAGGTTTGGAAGAAAGGTAGGGGAGGGAGATAAGTTTTGTTGTTGTTGTTGTTGTTGTTTTTTAGTTATGTTGGTGTTGAGTGCCTGGAGGACATACAGTTCAAAATGTCCAACAAGCATTTGGTGATATTGAACTCTTGAGAGAGTCTATGACTAGAAATGTAGATCTCAGGAGGCACCTACATAGAAATGTCAAGTATCCATGAGAGTTCATGAGGTCAGCAAGTGAGAGTTTAAAAAAGGGGGCTCAAAACAGAGTAACACACATAATTAGGGGACATCTCCGAAGGATGATTCGGTAAAGGAGACTGAGGAGTGGTTAGATAGACAGGAGAACCAGGAAAGAACAGTATCACAAAGTTTCCAACAGGAAAAAATATCTAGGAGGAGAGGGTAGCCAACAGTGCCAATGCACAGAGAGGTCAAGAAAGATAATAAAAGGTCATCAGATTTGGAAGTTTAGAGGTGACTTTGATAATCATCAGTGGAATAATTTAGTCAGATGTTAAATTTCAAGTAGTAGCACAAATCTGGAGAACCATATAAGGACCTGGGAGAGGTTTACTGGGTGGGAGGAGTGGGGGGGTAGGAGTAGGGAGGAGAGATGGGGCCTGAACAGCCTGACTCTCTAGCAACACAACTTTTCTCCTTCTGGGTGAATGGGGTGGTCCAAATGAGAAGAAAGGAGAGTTTCTTAATTGTTTCTGGATGAACATGCTGTCTTTTGGTTTTGGTTTTGTTTTTTGTTTTTATTTTTGGTCAGGTTAAATAAAGCCTGTTCTACACTGGATACTTTGTTAGCCTGAGTGCTTGCAATGGGACCTGAGGGCCCTTTCGATTTTCTGTGGGTAGACCTAGACACAAGCCAAATCTTGATGTTGACATAGAAATCCCAGATTGGGACATGAGCCAAAAAAAGAAGCTTCCTAGGTCCACGTAAATTGAGAGTGACAGTTCTGAGCCATAGATTACTGTTATTGTTCAGTCGTTTTTCAGCTATGTCAAACTGTGTGACTTCATTTGTAGTTTTCTTAGCAAAGATACTGGAATAGTTTGCTCATTTCTCCAGGTCATTTTAAAGATGAGGAAACTGAGGCAGTGTTGAGGTCAAATTTGAACTCACGAAGGTAAGTCTTTCTAACTCCAGGCCCAGCACTTTACACACTGAGCCACCCAGCCGCTCTTCACAGGTTGTATAAAGCTGCAATTCAGAAAGCTAGGTGGTACAAGGTATAGTGTGTGTCATGCCTGGAGTCTAGAAGACCTGAGTTTAAATGCAGCCTCAGATACTTACTAGCTGTATGATCTTGGGCAAGTATCTTATCTATAAAATGGGGATGATAACAGCACCTACCTCTCAGGGTTGTTAGGAGGACCAAATGAGGTAATGTTTATAAAGTGCTTTGCAAACTTTAAAGTGCTGTGTAAATGCCGGTGGTTATTATAATTATACCTACTCCCTGGTCAGCAATAGCATCAATGTTCAGTGCCTCAAGTGGCTTTTCACCAGTAAAAGGTGCTTCAGACACAGGAGCTTCTCACTGGGCACTAGCTGAGTTTCCTGTTTACCAGGCTCACTGATTGCTACCCTCCAGTCTTCCTCATCTCAAGACCAGCCCTGCCCAGACTCCCCTGTCTAACAGTCTCTCACCTATACCTGCTGCTGCTTTACCTAGCCGGTCATGTCTGAGGCTTGTTTTTTTCTCCTGAAGAGAAATCAGAATTCCTTCCATATTCATCTTACAAAAGATCCTTCCTGGATCTTGCAATTTCCATCATAGGGTAAATTTCCATTTTTTTGGAAAATTACTTTTTAATGACATATCATGGCCTTGGCCCATGCTGTAAAACATTTAGTTTTGTTGTATTTCCCTTTTCTTAGGTTAAAACTGTTTGCTATCTTTAAGCATGTATTGGGGTGGGGTAGAGAGGAGCAGCTTTTAAAAGAAAAAATGATTTCCCTTTTCCTTCTGAATCTCCACCCTTAGCTACATCCTTCACAGAATGGAGAACTAGTGCTCCTGGTGGTGTTACAACGGGTTAGAACCAAGAGAAGACCTAGGGCCACAGTCTGTCCACTGTCCCCATAAGCAGGTTTCCCTCCTCCTGAAGGAGGAGCCCTGAGGACCAACAGGGCAAACTCTGAGGCAACTGATACATACACCCAGTTCATGGTCAAGCAATGACCCCACAAACAAAATAGATAAACTTATCACCATTAATTGCCCTAAAGGTTTAGACCAGTTTCATATATAAGTCAAGCTTGTAGGAAATCTTTGCTAAAATAGAACAGTTTTGAAAATAACAAACCATAACAGACCTGACACCAGAGATAAGTAGAGATATTTGTATGGCCCAATTAACGTCCTTACCTATTGTCGGTAATGTGGCTGGAGAGCATTCCATGACTGAAGTAACTTCGGAACGGCTACAAAAAAACCCCAAACATATTTTTAAGGCTTTTATTCACAGAAAGGAAACTCCTAGATAAAATGTATGACTGACTTTGACTTAGTACTTCCCATCAAACAACTGGTGGGTTATCAACCAATCACTAAGCATTCATTAAACACTTTATCTGTGTCAGGCACTGTACTAGATGCAGGTGATACACAGCCCAAGAAGAACGGCCATCAGAGATCTTATGTTCTAATAGGGGAAACAATATGTACACATACAAGTGCAAATAAAAAAAGAACAAAGTAGCTCAGGGCCATCAGGAAGGGTGCCATGTAGAAGGCAGCAACTGAGCTGAGCTTTGAAGGAAACAAGAGCTTCAATGGGGCCGAGGAAGGGAAGAGTATGCTAAGCATTGGAGTCAGGCAGCCAGCAGAAAAGCAAGGAGACGGGATGCAGAGGGTCATGGGGGAGAAACAGCATAAAGAGAGGAGAGGGGGAAAGAAAAAGAAGGGAGAGGAAGGGATAAGCATTTATTAAGTGCCTTGATGTACCAGGCCCTGTGTGAAGCACTAGACAAACATCATCTCATTGATCCTCACAACAACCCTGGGGGACAGGTGCTGTTATTATTCCCATTTTACAAATTGAGGAAACTGAGGCAATAAGAGGTTAAGTGACTTGCCCAGGGCCACACAGCTAATGAGTATCTAAGGCAAGATTTTACTTCAAGTCTTCATGGCTCCAGATCCAGTCTTCTTTCTATCTACTGTACCACCAAGCTGCTTCTAACAGCAAGAATGCCATTTGGGATGGATCAGAGGCATGAAGGGGAATAATCTATAACCAGGCTGGAAAGATAAACTGGAGTCAGGTTGTCAAGGATGCCGAACAAACACAATAATCTGTACTTGATCCTAGAAGCCAGAGGGAGTCAATAGAGTTTACTGAGAAAGGGAAGGACATAGACCTATGCTTTTAAGAAAACCACTTAGCTAATAATTAAGCAAAAAGTAGCCCCAAATCAGTTAGCTTTGAAATCTTACCTTCTATATTTATAAGTCTAGGGAATTACTTGAGAGTAGCTGAAAACACTTCAAGTTTTAACATGACATTGGAAATGGAAATAAACTTATCAGCATAACAAATTCCTCTAAACTCATTGTATTTCAGGTTTCCTTAGTAAGATGCTGGGTTGAACACTACCCAAATTTCACAAGAAAGCCTAAGGCTGATTCGCATTTATGTTCTCAACAAACTAATGCTTTTTTAAATAATAAAATAAAAAATTTGGATTGGAAATGGGTTTGTTAGTTACCAGACTGTCAGGAGGGATTCCACATCTCATTTTTATTTAATCATGGAAAATTTCATCAAGTTTTGTGGGAAGGAGAGTCTGGAGGCAATGCATTGGGAGAAAGTTCTAAGCTTTAAGACACTGAATTAAATAATTTATGGCAAACTCAGCTAAAACATGGATATGTGCTCTCCTTGTCTACTGGCTCATTTCCTACTGACTACAAACATGCCCATGGCTTCTCTCCTCCTGCAAAACCCTCAGCTAACCCTTCCACTCCCACTTATCATTCTCTATCTCTTTTGCTCTTTGTAGCTAAACTCAAAAAGGTCATCTACAATAGGTGTCTCCACTTTCTCTCCCCTCTTTTCATAACCCTTTACAATCTGGTTTGAAACCTTACCATTCTACCAAAACTGCTCTCTCCTAAGTTACTCGTCATTTCTTGGCTGCCAGTCCTCCTTCTTGTAGATGTCTCCATAGCCTATGACATGTTGATCACTCTCTCCTCCTTGATACTTTCTTTTCTGGAGGCTTTCAAGAGACATTCTCTCCTGGTTCTCTTCCTACCTATCTGACCACTCCTTTTCTGTCTCCTCTGTTGGATTCTCCTCCAGATCACACCCTCTAACCTTAGGTGTCCCTCAGGTTCTGTCCTGGATCCTCTTCTCCCTCTACACTACTTCACTTGGTGATTTCAACAGTTCCCATGGATTTAATTACCATCTCTATACTAGTGATTCTCAGACCTACAGCTTCTGCCCCAACCTTTCTACTGACCTCCAATCTCACATCTCCAAATGCCTTGCAGACATCTTGAAATGGATATCCACTTTAAACTCAATATGTCCAAAACCAAACTCAGTATCTTTTCCCCAAACCCTCTCACCATCTTACCTTCCCTATTTTTGTAGAGGGCAACACCATCTTCCTAGTCCCTCAGACTCCCAATCTAGGTGTCATCCTCACTCTCTTACACCCCCATACTCAATCTCTGTTGCCTAGGTCGGTTGATTTCACCTTTACAACATCTCTCAAATAAGCCCCCTTCTTTCCTCTGTCACTGCTACCACCCTGGTGCAAGCCCTCAACACCTCACAACCTGGACTACTGCAATGGCCTGCAGGTGGGTATATCCATCTCAATTCTCTCTTCACTCCAATTCATCCTCCATTCAGCCACTAAAGTGATTTCCCTGAAATGCAGATCCAATTACTTCACCCCACTACTCAATAAACTCCAGTGGCTCCCTATCCCCTTTATGATCAAATACAAAAGCCTCTGTCATTCAAAGCCCTTCATAACCTAGCCTCCTCCTACTTTTCCAGTCTTCTTACACCCCTACTCCCTGCTATCTATTCTTCAATCCGATGACACTGGCCTCCTGGCTGTTCCTCGAACCAAAACACTGCATCTCTCAGCTCTGGGCATTTCCTCTGGCTATCCACCATGCTTGGAATGCTCTCCCCATCAGCTCCACCCACTACCTTCCCTAGCTTCTCTTAAGTCCAGCTAAAATCTCATCTTCTACAGGAAGCCTTTCCCAAACTCTCTCAATTCTAATGGCTTCCCTCTCTAAATTATTTCCTATTTATCATATACATAGCTTGTTTGCACATATTTGTTAAACCGTTATCTGCTCCATCAGACTGTAAACTCCCTGAGGACAGGAACTCTCTTTTGCCTCTTTTGTACCCTCAGGGCTTAGCACAATGCCTGGAATGTAATAGACGTTTATTGATTGACCGACCAATCGCTTTACTACCAAACTAAGAAAAATGAACATTATGCAAAATGAGTGGGCATGAAGTGAATTCTTACCAACTTACTTACCTATGGTTTAAATTAAAAAAAAAAAATTAAGGCAATCTGGCTTTTTTCCCAAATGTCTCTAGTCCTGGCCAAAAAAGAGAGACAGGGTCTATCTTCTGACTCCTGCCTCAGCCAAAATGTGGACACTTGCTCAGCTTACAAT